AGTAGCAGTAGCAGCAGCAGCATTAGTAGCAGTATATAGTAGTAGTACTTGTCCTCGTCCTCGGAAAAATCTAAGCAGAAAGAACGTGATTGCCAGCATGAGTGCTTGCAATAGTGACGGTGATACACGTGCCAAGCAAGGCAGGTGTCCATGAGACCGTGATCTGGAATCCCGTCTGCGATGCAGCTCAATTGGATTCGGCGATACCATGCAGCGCGCAAAACTTCCATGGCAACAGCGGCGCTTGAAACCTTCGGGGGTGTTGCAGTTGCATGGAGCTGATGCTGCAATCCCCGACCCGACCTTTCTTGAGGTAAACCCCGAGGATGACTTGCCCTAGACCTAGAACTCGACGTGCGCCGGAAAGCCATCGTTCTGGCTTACACGGATCCGGGGCTCTGACGTGCAGGAAGGATGGGGGCGAATAAGGTGGCCAGCAACCCAGGAACTTTCTGGGCAGGGGTGCGAAAAAGGTGTGTACTATGGTTTTGAATTCAGGGTTTGGGAGTTTCGGGTGGAGGGTCTACCAGGGTTTTAGCGGGTGTTGGGTTTTGAGATCTTGGGGAGTTTACGGTTTAGGACGTCTTGCGACAATGGGTTGTAGTATCGTGGGGTGTAAGATCTCTGGGACGTCCGGTAGTTTAACTATGAAGCCTCGGCGTAGAGTTTCTGAGCGGAGGAATGACTCAGCTTTCATTCCAATGGCTGAACAAAAATCCTCTAACCCTCACTGCCGGCAACATTACCTAATGGATATGCCCAGCCACCCTGAACCTTAAACCTTATCCCTAATTTCCTAGTTCGATGCTCAAGAGGCCATCGAAGGATATGTAGACTTGCGGAGGTTTCCCGCGAGCCACCCTAGAGCGAAAATTTGTATATCCGAAAGCTATATGGATGGGAGATCTGCTTATGGCTTTGGAAATAGCAGAGATGAAACCTAAGGACAACTTGAGCAACCGGAAGCTCGCAAGGACCCGAACTAGCAAGAATCCTATGAACGCGCACTTCTGTATCGCACGTGCAGATGTCTGCTGCAGCTGGGGACAATGATTGGTGCTGACGATTACCTGGATGATGATGATGATGATGATGATGATGATGATGATGTTGGTGATGTTGACGGCTGCGGCAACGCTGATCTGACAACGACAGTGCTGATGTTGATACCGATGATGACGACGAGGATGATAATGATGACGGTTATTAGGTGCTGGCGCTCGTGCTGGCAGGACTGGTAGTGATGGTGTGATGGTTATACAATTATACAACTAGTGTAACGCCCATGCATGCTTGCGACCGTCATGGTCATGGCTACAGCCGTTGTCACTCTAGTCCTCATCCTCGTCGTCATCCCTATCCTTGTTGCGACATAGTGTTCGTCGTGGTTGTCTCGGTGGCCGCGATACTTGCTCTCATCGTCCTCCTCCTCTTCCTTCTGGTCCTGCTCCTGCTCCTGCTCTTGCTGCTCATCCTCGTCGGCGTCGTCACTGCGGTGACCATCAGCCACCACCGCTCACCATTCAGGACCCGTCTTTGCACTTCCTCTCCCGAGCTACTGACCCTCCCACCCCAGGTCCAGAAGTCCAAGGAGGCCAAGATGAAGGCCGCCATGGCCGGCGGTAAGTCCCGCAAGAAGATGCTCGGCAGCCTTTTTGGTTTCTGGAGCTCTTTAATAAACCGACACCGAAAGTGGGGAGAAGCAACGATATCGTCCTGCGCAATTCTATCCGCTTTGCAAAAAAGTGTCTGGTTTCCATTTCTATGTCTTCACTTGGGCTTATGAGTTATGCTCCACCTTTCAAGACCTTCCCCAGAGCTGCTGCAAAGTCGTAAGCCCCTCATGCCGAAGCGGTCTAAGTCCACGCACAAGGGATGCTGAGAAAATCCCATCATGGAACACCCTAACACTACAGCCCGATAGCCCTAATCCCTGAAAGCTCTGAAGCCTCGAAGCCTTCTGAGGAAGTGGGCCAAGGGCAAGGCCAACTTTGCTTTAGGTCTTCACAGGGCTGGGTTTGCGGATTTCTCGGTTTTGTCGTGCCGACCGAAGTACGCGTGCAGGGGGCCTGCAGCTTGGCTGTTCATTGATGCCGGCCTTCAAGATCAAAGCCACAATCACTGGAATCGTTGGACAGGTCAAGGAGAAGCTCGCCAACCTGGTCATGTTCGACAAGGTCCGATCGATTTGAGGGTTCGTCTACAGTACTATAGACAAAACCCCTAAACCCTAAACCTTAAACCCTAAACCCTAAACCTTAAGCCCTAGGGCTTTTGGGGTTTAGGGCCCTAGGTTTCGGGTTCGAAGTTTTCGGGTCGAGACTTCCAGGTTTGACGGATGTCTGTATGGGTTGAACTGTATAATATGGGGGCCTGAAGCCTGGCCAATGCTATTCTGGGGTTCCTTATTACTCTTCTAGTATAGTATACTCTGAGACCCTATTCTAATTATGAAGGCCCCTATATTATCATCTTTCCAGTATTATCATCCCTGAACCCTAAACCCCAAACCCCAACACCTTATTCGAATTACTCAGGCCCCCATACGATCATCCCTAAACCCTAAACCCTAAACCCAAAAACCCTAAACCTTAAAACCCTAAACCCCAAACCCTAAACCCTAAACCCTAAAACCCTAAACCCTAAAACCCCTAAACCCTACTATCATCTTTCCAGCTCAACCTTCTTGGGGAGCCTCCGAGGCTCTTTGCCTAATCAGGTACCTTCCAAACCCAAGGCGCGAAGTCCCAAACCCTAAGCCCTAAGCCCCAAGTTCTATAAGCCCTAAACCCTAAACCCTGAAAACCCTGAAAACCCTGAAAACCCTGAAAACCCTGAAAACCTTAAAACCCTAAAACCCTCAACCGTAAAACCCAAAACCCTAAAACCACCAACCCAAAAAGCCGGAAGTCCTAAAACCCCCGTAATGGCTACGACGGTGTGGGGGTTTCCGAAAATAGGGGACCCTAATATAATACCCTAAACAATAGGATCCTTCATATGGGTGGTTGTCAAAATTATAATACGGCACCTATTATTTAGGGTACCCCAAAAGGGACCCTAATTTTGACAACCACCCATATAAGGACTCCAAAATCAGGTACCCTAATTTTTGGAAACTCCCATGTAGGGATCAAGGTCCGGCAGATTGGAGCCAGAGACCTCGAGCCGACGACGATGATAAAAAATGGCATTTAGGGTTCGGGTTTCGGGTTTAGGGTTTAGGGCTTTGGGTTTAGGGTTTAGGGTTTAGGGGGGTTTGGGGTTTAGAAGAATAGCAATAATACTAATAATACCATAATAGCAATCATAGCATTAGTTGCAATAAGACTAGTAATAAACATCAGAGCAGTATTTGCAGGAGCTGCAGGACCTGTGCTTTCGAAAACTCTCACTCGCGCAGGCCACCTACGACAAGATGCTGAAGGAGATTCCCAAGGTGCGACCTCTAGCAAGCTTCTTGACGTGGCCGGACCCCCTCCTAGATCTAGAGATCTCACTGCTCGGATTCACAGGTCCCATCGACTCAAGATGTTTGGTTCAAACGAGCGCGGGCGAACTTTTGAGTCTTGGACAGGTCCAATAAGAGTAGCAGGAATCCTCGTCGCAAGTGAGATTTTACCATTGGCATCGTCGTGGCGCTCATCCCAGCCAACCTAAACCGCAAGCCAATCTCGTACTCTACATGCGAAGGCGAAGTTGATCACACCCTCTGTGGTCTCCGAGCGTCTGAAGGTGAGCCCTGGGATTTGGAGTGTCAGGGAGGGACAGCGGAAGTTCTGGGTTCAGGATTCGCAATCTGCAGGGCTGAGGGCTTGAGTTGTGTTTCCTCTTTGAAGTGTGTCGCCTGCGTGCGTGTAGAGTGCAGGTGGCTCATCTTCCCAACACTTCAGAACCTAAGCCTCAAACCCTAAGCCGTATGCAGACCCATGCAAGTCGTAGGTTCGAGCTTGATGCTCCCGACTGTCGAAGGTGAACGGCTCCGTGGCCCGTGTCGCAATTCGACACCTGGAGGACTGGGTTTAGACTCTCGAGTTGAGTGAGTGTGTGTGTGTGTGTTGGTGTCTTCACTATGTATACATATATATATATATATCTATGTACAGATATGTACATATACATACATACATAC